CCTCCTCTAGGACCAGTCAGGTCCCGAGAGTGCTGGACGAGGGAGGTCCAACCTGCACTCTGTTAGCCAAAATCAGGCAACATCAATTCAGCAGCCAAGAAATCGACCCAAAGGAAACAAGGAGAGAGAACGTCTGATGCCGCTGATGGTGAAATGTCAGTTCCATGGAGCAGAAGCCGTTGTGTCCTTTAAAACCCTTCTGCCATTCTCAATCGAGTGCTCATTCGGCTGCTTGACCAGGTGCCCCGGAGAGGCTAAAGCCTGTAGATGTGAGCAGCGTTGACACGCACGCAGATTCCTCACGCTGCGCATCAGCCAATAACGATCATGCGGCCCGATGCCATGGAAACGAGGCAGTAGCGAGAAGCAGAATGCTCAGCACACTGAGACGCTGACCCACGTGGAGGAGACAGAAGCAGCAAGATACGGCACTTAAAAAAGAAAAAGCACAGTCTGGGGAGCCCCAGATTCAGTTCTTGGCCCCACCACAAGCTTCCAGGGTGACCTTAGGCGAGTCGCTTAGTCTTTCTTTGCATCCACACCTCACCTATAAAATGAGCCTCCCCAGCTCGTCGAGGTGTTGTGAGGAGAAATACATTAAAGGCTCTGAGGTTCTGAGGGGCACTTTGGTATGGTAACGGGCGCCAGAGAGAACAGCCAAAGACATTCCACGCAGTGAGGTAACGAGACAGAGAGAGGTGAGAGAGCCATACCACGCCTTGAAGAAAATGGCAGCAAATGGAAACCCCTCCAACCAAGGCAGAATCCATGGTAGCTTATCCCATCAGGCAGTTGGTCACTCTCCCTTGACATAAGAACGGCCATACTGGGTCAGACCGAAGGCCCATCTGGCCCCGTGTCTTGTCTTCCAACAGTGGCCAAAGTCAGGTGCTTCAGAGGGAATGAACAGAACAGGGAATCATCAAGTGATCCCTCTTCTGTCGCCCATTCCCAGCTTCTGGCAAGTCTGTCGTTTGAGACATTCTGCAAAGAATAAGGCTGCAAACTAAATCCCAAACTCAGCAGATCACATGACTTGTAGGAATTTGATTATTTGTTAAATCATTCCCAAAATTCATTTGTTTTTATAATGAATTCAACGGCAAAGGTATCTAAGTAAGGCCACGTCCTGGACAGGGCAATGACACAAACTGGGTGCAGAGGATAAAGGAATCAGTGAAAATAAAAAGGGAGAAAAGAGGATTATTGATAACTGGCTTGTATACGGACTTGGCTCATGTTGTCTAACTCCAGACAACGTGGTCAGAGCAGACATTGCTCTTCTCTTTGCAGTTTTCCATTGGCTTCTCCTCCAATGCATCAGTCCCTACTACTTTGCCTTTAAGGCTCTTTACCAGTTAGCCCAAGGGTGGGTAATAAGTGGTCCACGGGCTGGATGCAGTTCACCAATGTTAGCCCCTGGTGGGCTGCCAGATGGTTTATTTACCTGCTCGCAGCTCCTGTTGGCCAGGAACAGCCAACAGGAGCTGCAGACACGCTGGGAAATAAAAAGTCTAGCGGTCCATCAGGACCTAACCTTGGTGATCCAGGTCCAACCCACAGGCCACTTATTGCCCATCCCTGAGTTAGCCCCACATCAGACCCAAGCCGTCAACTTCCCATCTTTTTTCTCCCAGTAACACCACTCTCTTGACCCCTTTTCTCTCAGGCTCCTCTGTGCTTTCTCCCTGCCATCTTCTGTTCATCAGACAAACTGCCCATCAAAATTCATAAAGCTTCCCTTTTTAAACTCTCCACCATGTTCCCAGGACCTATTTAGTTAAGAACACTTTGGTATTTGATACTGTTTATCTGTAGGAGGGAGAAAAATCATTCTCCTTGGCCTCTGAGAATAGGACAAGAAGCAATGGGCTCAAATTGCAGCAAGGGAGGTTTAGGTTGGACATTAGGAAAAACTTCCTAACTGTCAGGGTGTTTAAACACTGGAATAAATTGCCTAGGGGGGTTGTGGAATCTCCAACACTGGTGTATTTAAGAGCAGGTTAGACAGACACCTGTCAGGGATGATCTAGACAGTGCTTGGTCCTGCGGTGGGGGCAGGGGACTGGACTTGATGACCTCTTGAGGTCCCTTCCAGCTCTAGTTTCTGTGATTCTATACAGCCCTCCAGAACATACCGGCTGTGTCTACACTGGCACCCCTTTCCAGAAAAGGGATGCGAATGAGACACTTCGGAATTGCAAATGCTGCGGGGGATTTAAATATCCCCCGCGGCATTTGCATGAACATGGCTGCCACTTTTTTCCGGTCCCTTCCAGCTCTAGTTTCTGTGATTCTATACAGCCCTCCAGAACATACCGGCTGTGTCTACACTGGCACCCCTTTCCAGAAAAGGGATGCGAATGAGACACTTCGGAATTGCAAATGCTGCGGGGGATTTAAATATCCCCCGCGGCATTTGCATGAACATGGCTGCCACTTTTTTCCGGCTCAGGGTTTTGCTGGAGAAAAGCGCCAATCTAGACGGGATCTTGCGGAAAATAAGCCCTTTTCCGGAAGATCCCTTATTCCTACTTGAAAGTAAAAAGGGAGAAAAGAGGATTATTCCGGAAAAGGGATCTTACGGAAAAGGATTTATTTTCCACAAGATCCCGTCTAGACTGGCGCTTTTCTCCGGCAAAACCCCGAGCCGGAAAAAAGCGGCAACCATGTTCATGCAAATGCCGTTGGGGATATTTAAATCCCCCACGGCATTTGCAATTCCGAAGTGTCTCATTAGCATCCCTTTTCCGGAAAGGGGTGCCAATATAGACACAGCCACCATGTTTTTCCCACCGCTCCCAAACAGAGTTTCTTCCACAGTCTATAGCAGCAAACATAGGAAATGTAACCCCCTTTCCTCTTTATTCCACATATAATTGGGAAAAAAACATTATACAGCATATGGTCCAATTTGAAAACAGGAAAGGTTTCTGTTGTTCCAAGAAGTGAGCTTTGCTAAAAGACTGCCAAAAATCCTATAACACTTTCTATAGGCCGAGATCATACATGAATCTGATCCAATGACAATACAATATAACACCTGATCAGACAGCTCGCTCATAATGAGCGATGAAACCAGGAAGATCAGGGGTTTGAATTATGTGCTGTGCCACATGTGGGATTTTAATGTACCCAGCAATGATAAGCCACTGAGCCTTGTGTATCAACACTTTCTTAAATTAATATGTTATGCACACAAAGAAATAGAAACCCCCTCCCCCAGTAAAATAGATTCCTAGCAATCTACTAACCTCCTTGCCCTGGGTCTTAAATAAGCATAAACAGGAATGTGGTAGAGAAATTCCACAGGAATAAAGGTAATGTAATAAAGCAGCAGCTTGCATACATGTGATTGTCATCAGAGGAATAGATCACATAAGCATCTCAAAATGTCAGGTTCTAGATGAAGCATGCGTGAGCTTGTTCAAGGAATTTCTTTACTCTTCATTAATACCCTATTCATCAGCTCTTCTCGCAGCAGTGTATTGCTTTTCCAAACAACTCTGCATATTTCCATTACAACAATGGCAGCCCGGAGAACAGATTCTGAACTCATTTCAGAGTAAATCTTGAGCAACTCCATTGGAAGTTCCATCAGATTTGCAGAGACGTGAGATCAGAATCTAACCCGGTTCTTCTAGCAATGAATATTGAATTTCACATGATGCTCGTGAATGCAGCATCTGCTTTGCTGCACCCAGACAGTTTTTCTCTGTTTATAACAATGTGCTATCACAACATTTATTAACAAAATAAAAATTAGAGCGAATGTGGAAAAAAAACAAAGACAACCGGAAGAACACAGTGATGCTCATACCACAATAGCTCTCTGTTATCGTATCTGAAGAGAGCTGATAGAAGAAAATAATTTTGAAATCACAACACACTCATATTTCATTATCCTCAAATGTCATTCACTCCCAAACAAGGAATGTGTTATTCAAATATACCTTCCTCTGACAAATGCACATTGGGCATTCAAATCTAGGCAGTATTCTCTTTGATTTAATATTAGGAAACCCTTCCATTCTTTTCATTCAGCACAGGAGATGTGCTCTAAGATACCAGGGGGGCAGTTCTCTCTTAATAGAATGGGTGACAATGAGTTAAATCAGTTGTATCTCAGGTGGAATCAGGCTGCAGGTTTGCTATACATGATTTACTCCAGACTTGCCTACAGTGCTTTGAGCAACACAGCCGCACTTGCTATTAATTAAGTGCCATTCACTCCCCTCTAAGGAGTAACACCTTTTGCTCACTGTCTCAAATCAGCCGCTACACAAGACAGACATCATAGGGAAACTGACTAGTATAGATAAAGTAGACTAAGGCCTTGTCTACCCTAAACAGAAGATCGCTGCTGCCACACTCGATCTTCCGGAGTTTGATTGAGCCGGTCTAGTTAAGACACACTAAATTGAACTCAGAGAGCACACGTCTAGTTAAGACACACTAAATTGAACTCAGAGAGCACCCTCACCAGCATCCAGTACTCCTGGCTTTTGCTAGGACTAAGGGAAACTGACAGGAATGCTCCCATTGGCCTCCTGCTGCCAAGCTTGGCTTAAGGTAAGCCGACTGCAGCTATGTATTCTATGTAGCTGGCGTTGTGTACCTTAACCCGAGTGGCTGGGTCTAGGGTAGACTTGGCCTAACTATTGCACTGTAGCTGCACTGGCCTAACTCCCCTGCATGGACCTTTATTCTAGGATAGTTACATTGCTTCAAAGCTGGTCAATTTCCCTCTACAGGTAAGCCCTAAGTGAATTTTCAAGGGATGTGGAGATGGCTGTCACAATTGGACAGGAGAGGCAACAAAAGTCCAATGGATCACTTAAGTACTATTTTGAGGTCTGAAGTGAGCTTTAAATGGTGCATAGGCTCATGCTGATGGGATTTATCCTAAGCGCACGCTGAGAATTCCTGTGATTCACCACCATCTTTAATCATCTTCCCCTCCCAAAATAAACAAGACCACAAGACGGGGACAGACCTACCTTCTCCCTGTTGCTGTGTGCAGTGAGAGATCGATGGGCAGCCCCTCGCAACGCAGTTCTGTAGTTATAAAAATTGCCAGTAGGGTCCATCTGATGCTAGGTGCAAAATGAGACAATTGCCATATAGATAATCAGAAAGCATTTGGATTTTTTTTTCTCATCATTTAAAACCAAGTTGCAAGTAATGGAGATCTTACTCCATGCTGGACACCTTTGTCATTATTTTCTTGTCTCGTTTATCTGGCTTAATGCTTATTCAACAAGGCATCCAGATGCAATTTTAGATTAATAAAAGTCACCATGATGTGGCAGTGTGGGAGAGCTGGATTCTCTGATGACAGTTTCTCCTATTGTTCCAGGGCCCTGGACAGGGGCCACACAGATATTCTCAGGAGAGACATAATTGCACCAAATTCCTTATAAGGGTGACCCTTAGAACAGCTAAAAAACTACATGTACAGATTGTGGTTGTTTGTATCTTTGATTTTCATTTTTAAATGCATATAATTTTATTTGAAATAGGTGGCCTAAATGGGGTAGCTATCACCGTATCATTGTACATATGATACAGATATCAGGCCAAATGCTCCCCAATGGAAAATAATGCTTGAAGAGGTAGTGCAAAATTATGCCCAGTTTATATCAGGCTGAATTCTGGCTGGCATCAGGGTGCTCCCCTGCTGCAATGCACTGGCACATGGACTGTTGGGGGGCTGTTATAGAATTGCATGCCCCTTTATTTCTTGCTTACACCACCTCTGAGACGGAATAACTTGCTTTAGTTGCCAGAGGACACAACACCACTTGCTGTGCCAGATATCGATCTTCTGGCGTTCGATTTAGCGGGTCTAGTAGAGACTAGTCTAAATCGAACGCTGAGGGTACCCCCAATTGGCACCGGTACTCTTTGCATTCATGAGAAGTAAGGGAAACCAATGGGAGCTTTTCTCCCATCTACCTCCCACTCTGAAGACGGTGCCAAGCTTGGCATAAGGTATGTTGACTCCGGTTACATTATTTACCTATCTGGAGTTGGGTACCTTAAGCCGACCTTCTGGGTCTAGTGTAGACCTGGCCGTACACAGAGCACCATGGCATGATCCTGCAGTGGGAGATTTGCCACTGATTTCTCTGACAGCAGGATCAGATTCTTGAGCAATCCTTTATAATGGCTTTCATTCTTATCACACCCACTTTTTGGCACATTCTATCCAAGACTGTACCTCAGGTGCTCCAGCTGCTCTCTGCTTGGTAGCTATTTCACACCTTCTGTTGGTACATTTCTGCTCGCGTGTGCCTCTCCGGAGAAACTGTGACCCCTAAGTCTATGAAGATCCTCTATTTAATATCATGCACCTGAATACATTTGATTAATACTAATAACAAAGCTTCTATTTTTTTTTACCTCAAGAATAAAAAATTTGGCGGTTTTCACTTTTGACCAGGTCTTCTTTAACCTGGAGACGGGGCTCATGTTCATTCCCGCTACAAGTGTGCCTCTCCGGAGAAACTGTGACCCCTAAGTCTATGAAGATCCTCTATTTAATATCATGCACCTGAATACATTTGATTAATACTAATAACAAAGCTTCTATTTTTTTTTACCTCAAGAATAAAAAATTTGGCGGTTTTCACTTTTGACCAGGTCTTCTTTAACCTGGAGACGGGGCTCATGTTCATTCCCGCTACAAGGAAATC